GTGGGGTTGCAGGGTGGGTGGCTTGGGGTATAAAATGAGCATCCACACAGAATAAAAACGCCACACAGTCCTGTTAAGTCTGTTTTAGTTTTCGCGACAACCATCGAGTCTTACCCACTGTTTCTGAATTGTTTCCATAGGAAATTCTGGGAAAGGTTCATTGCCCTGTGTCATGAGAATGAAAGTCTTCACGGGATCACGTTTGAGCAGATCAAAGCTCAGTTGGAGGCTTTGGAGTTGAAGAAAACCTACGTGTTGAACCCTCTGGCTCCCGAGTTCATCCCCCGAGCTCTGCGGCATCAGCACTCGGCCAATCCCACCAAGCAGCAGCAGTCCCCTCCAAAGGTAAAGCATTCCCAGCCATGGAATTGTCAGAAGGGGAAGTGAATGCAGAGAAATGACAGAAAGGGTTTATGGAACAGGCTGTTTGTTTTAAAATTGCATCAATGCAATCAGAAAGGAGTGCGAATTCTGGAGCGATATGTGGCATTTTCAGGTGAAAGCTCCAGACTTGTATTATAATACAGCATTTAGGGGTGTCCAAGTCCTGTTTCCTTACTAAAACACACACCTTGGGTCACTCTGGCTTGTTCAGTGTCAAACTTCAACCTCAGGGTTTAGATAAACCAAATTAAACCCTCTGACTGAGAGCCGATCCCTGTCACAAGCACCTTGTGCTCTGCCTGTACCCCAAAGAAACAACAGGCAAAAGAAGTATAAGGAAACAACAAAACAATGGGGAAAAGGGGTTTGGTTTGATTTAAAAATCACATTTAAAATTCGGGGACTTGTATCACGTCAGGTAATTCTTTGATGTAATTAGAGATATATTGTAAAGCAGTATCTTGCATAGATTAGCTCTGTGATAATGTCCTTCAGAAAACCAGATTTCAGCAGCATCAAGAGGGCAGAGATATGAAATTACCTCTGAGTGGTGATTTCATCAACTGCTTTATAAAAGCAGGTGAAGAAGTGATGAAAATATGTGGCTTCCTTAGGATGATAAGGAACAACACTAAATTTTAGAGCTTTCTTGGGGGGGGTGATATATTAGTAATTAATTCTATTTTAATGCTTCTTTGTAGTTTATTTGAGTTATAGTTGTAAAAATGTAGTTCATTTGAGTTATAATTTAATTAAAGTGTGTTTAGAGATGCAGCTGAAATGCAGGTTGTCAACTTTGTGATGAACTCAGTTGCACAAGAAGGAAGAAATGTATGAATTTCCCATAGCCTTGCATTTGTGTTGCAGGCCGTATCATTGAAATGCAATTTTTACAACAGGTTTTTTAACAATACAGAAAAGAAAGCCTTCCCTTTGGCAGTCCTTCCCCAAAGAAGGTTTGTAAGTGAGAACATTTGTTTTTTTCATCAAGATGCATTACTTTCTGAAACAAACACCAGATTTCTAAGGCATCTAGTCATGTGTCAAAACACTGGGCCTACGGAAAACCAGAAATTACAGAATTATCTTTAAAATCCACTACTGCACTCTCCATTTTCTGTGAGTGCCTCAGCCTTGAATGCATTTTCTTTAATAGAACATCATTATTAATACTTTTAGTTTCCTAAATGAAATAAAAAGAAGGTATTTGAAAATGCAGGTATAGTACATTTAGAGAAAAAAGGGGGGTGGGTGCTGGGGGAAGTGAGAATCTTGTGAGTAGATGACTCTGTTTATTTTCCCTCGGTTTGTTGGTAAACTGAGCCCTTGTGATGCAGGAATGCCAAGAGACACTTTTCAAACTGCCAGCACTGTATTTTCAGCTTCAGATCCGAGGTGTCTAAACCCCCTGTGTCATAATTCTAAATAAAATCTCTTCCCCCTGGATACAATTGCCAGGCAGTGTGTGCAGTACCAGCAGTGCAGCGAGCAGGTAACACCCAGGCACACACAGATTATGACTGTGAGCAGGGATGCATTTCCCTTTGCTCGAGTTTTGAAAGCAGATGGTTAGCTTTGCTTATTTTAGACCTCCTAAGTACAGTATTTAACACTGGAAATGAAAGATTAAAAACTTAGTGCTGGTGTGTTTTGTAGCGAAAAAGTGAGAAGAGCCTCTGACACCGTGTTTTGTGGTGAGTTTATGGACATCTGTGCAGGGCAGGGCTCGTCTTTCACATGCTGTGAAAAGTGATTTTGAACAAACAGCACCTTCTTATTCAGCAGAATTGCTCCTGGCTTTATGTAAGGGCATTAAAAACCTCCTTGCTGTTTAGATTTTAAAGAAGGAAAAATGTTTGAGTCTTGCCTCTTTGAGAGGCAAACCAGCCAACATGGAACAGGCTGTCTGGGGGCATCTGCCTTCCCCCGTGTTCCTGTGGCTTGGCTGGGCATGGAGGTGAGGAGGGAACAGCAGAGTTGGACAGGGACAGCCTTTATTGAAGGTGATGATGTGGAAGGGGAAAGTTTTCAGAACTCAGAGCTTCCCTCGGGGTAGTTCCCGTACAGTAAATTAGGCTCTGACTTCACAGCTTTGCCTCCCTCCCTCCTGCTGCCTCTGCTCCAGCTTTTGGTCTGGATTCAGGCACTGAGGTCAGGGAGCATCATCATCCTCGACATCTCCTGCAGTCACTGAGGGCCACAGGTCTGATTACAGCTCTGGAGAACACTAAAGGGGGATCCGAGGAGTGATGAGCTCTTAACTGCCTGCAGTCACCCAAACCTTGGTCTGATCTTCCTCTGAGCACCTTTATGTAACGTGGGTTTTGATACTCCAAAGGTGGAGCAGGTTTTTAGAGCAATCAGAGTGTGTCTGTGCTCCTGTGTTGTCAGTCAGCATCAGTTCTAGTGTAGGTTTAGGGCTTTTTGGGTGGGGACATGAACCTTGAGGTGAAAATCTTTGAGAAATGGCAACGATTAAGTTAATAACAGACTATTATAAAGTCATTAAGCCATCACAATTATGAAAAGAAAAAGATAAAAGAAAGGCAACACCTCCCTTCCCCAGCTTACAGGTGGCCCCAGTTGACTTTTATTTACCATTCTGATCCTGGGATATGTTCATACTGTGACATGTCCTGTTCAACAGGACAACTCTTCTTACAGACTTATGTAACTATTTGCTATTTCAGTTTTAAAATATGACACCTATAAAATACAAGTCTAATAGGTTAGAACAGAGGTTTTTCAGATTTCTGCACTTAGAGCTTCACTGTGCCAGTATAACAGATACAGAAATGCCTTGTGCTGACCATGAGTGGTTGAGGCACATAGCTCCTCTATGTTTTTAGATTGAACCTTGCTCTGTTTGGTGAATAAAGAGGCTTCTTTTGTTTAAGTGCTGCAGTGAAAACCAATTATTATTTTATTTTTTAATAATTCATTTTTAAAATGAGAGGAAAATCAGAGACCAGTTCTTTAATCTGGTTTATGCATGAGTCAACGTTGTCAAACAACCTGTCTTTGTACCCTGACTAATTTGCTCAGACTGCTGGAAAACTGCCTAGACTTATCTCCTGGGCAGGGAAAGTTTTGCAGCATCAAAGCCTTTTTAGATTTATTTTAAACTTGTGAACATACTTAGGTCCAGATTAAGTAAAGTATTCCTCTCCTGCAAAGGACTTAAGAGCATACTGGCACTTGAATATGTGCTCACAGTTTATGAATATTAACTAATTAGTTGATGCTGGAAACTCATGAACATGCAGGAGGGATAACTCAGTTCTGTTAAAATCCTTTTCTAATGTACAATTCACCAAGGAAAACCAGTTTTCCCTAGAGCACTGTGGTTCTTGGCTCTCCTATAATTGTACTTTTGGGGAGCAGTCACAGAGGAACCAAAGTCCAGAGGCCAATAGATGGGGCAGGGAGACAATGTCTAATGAGGTTGGGTGAACAATTGGGTAAAACTGGAAGAAGCTGCGTTGTCTGAAGGGGAAAATGGATCATGCTTCCACTAAGAGCTGCCATGGCAGAGGAATACTGAGGGTTATTTTAGTACTGGATGCTGCTCCTGAAAAAAGTGAGACAGTGGAGAATGAAATGGTGAGGAAAGAAACTCAAAATATTTACTGGAGCATCTGGAAACAGGCCTTGGGAGAGTTTTCCCAGAGGGACTTGTAATGACCCACTGGTTAATTGGATTAGTGGTATTTAATGTCCAGCTTTGTGAATTCATAGTGTCAAGTGGTGGGACTGGACAGATGAATGTGTAAGAATAAACTGTTGGGCTGAATTCTTTCAAGCTCCATTTTGTGTTTAATTATAATGTTCACTTGAATAAACAGCTTTGGTTTATATAATAATGCAAAACGTAATTATTGGTTTTTTCCTTTAAAGGGCAAGGTCCACCATCACAACCAGAATGACCATTTCCCACCTGATGGAATGGGTAAGTATCTGCTGCTCCTGGAGAGGAATTCCTGAGCTCACACTGATATGGCTTCAGTGACATTGATACTAGTTTGATATGACTGGAGTATCTGGTCCCTTCTTTATTTGAAAGTCATTTACTTCTTGTGTGCATCTGGGAAACAGATTATAGGCTGTTAAATGGACATTAGGTATTTCTGAGGCTTTCCCTTTATAGGTGTTGTGTGCACTGACTTTGGAGCCTTAACACAACATAATTGTTGGCCTCTTAAAAATGACTGTATTTGAAATTCATACTGTAAAACCCTGTCCCACTGTATTTGCACTAAAAGGGTTTGGACATTATATTGCAGACACTTTTTTATGGGGTACTTTGAACTTAAATTGTGCTGTCATATATCCAGATATTACCAATGATACCTTTGCAAGGTAGCATGCCACAGCTGAATAATTTTGTTATTAATTTGAAAAAGCACTAATTTAAAGCTTGTCTTCCCTGCTAAAGAAAAGAGGGTGATTTTAGTTTTTGATGCAGTGCTTAACAACTACTCTGACTGTCAGCATATTTAATTGGTTTGGGACGTTCTCTCATTAATGCACTTACCAGATATCTGTTTCTCTGTATCTCAGCTCATATTTTCTGCCTCTTCAAATTTTTGATTTGATTAATGCTTTCTCTTGGTATATCAGACCTGTGCTCTTAGAGAGTTTCACACAGGCTTTATAAAGATAGATGCTATCAGGATGAAAAAAAAAAGAAGAAAAGAAAAAAGAAAAGAAAGAAAGAAAGAAACAGTGGCTTCATGTTCTTTTTGTGTATATATCTTGCTTTTTTGTGTATATAAATATTTTTTTTTTGGTCTTTCTTTTCAGTTCAGCCCAATCCTTCTGTTCTAATTGGAAATCCTATCCGAGCATTTACTCCTCCCCCTCCTCCTCTGGGACCTCACCCCAACCTGGGGAAATCTCCAAGTCCTGTTCAAAGGATAGATCCACACACTGGGACAAGTATTCTCTATGTACCTGCTGTCTATGGAGGAAATATGGTCATGTCTGTGCCTTTGCCTGTAAGAATTAATTTTGTGTTTTTCCCCTCAACCCTCTCCTCAGTTATTGTATGCACCATATATATGGGAAAAATCAGATAGTGAATTTATTGCAGGTTTATTCAGCACTTTACTTCAAATATATGAGCTTTGCTGGCTTTAGGAGTGGCAGTGCAGAGGACCACCATAAAATAGGGCCTTTAAAGCTTTGCTCCCACAAAATAACTCCAGGCAACCTAAAAGCAATTCCATGTTCATGTAATTTGGTGTGTTTTAGGCACACCAGTGGAATCTGTGTGCCGTGACTCGAGACACCTGCCTCAGAATTATTGGCCCAGTTCAGTTCTTAATCATCAGAGAGACATCAGTGATTCACCCCCAGTTTGTTTCTCTTTATTGGCTTCACACAGTCTAAATTACCAGTTTTGGAATTCTGCAGTGCAAGGTGTCTGAAGTGAAGTGATAAGAAAAATAAGCATAATGGGATGTTTTTCCCTTCCAGAACCTTGTAGTGAACCAGTTTCCTCTCCAATCCCTTTCCTTAATGACATTTGGGAACAGAAGGAAGATCTCTAATCAGGTCTTTTAGGCTACATTTATGCATGGAATTTTGGATTACAGATCAGACTGTCCCTCCAAAATTGCCACAAATTAAAGAAGCAGCCTCTGCTTTATTGCTGCCCTTCACAGTCACATATTCATGGAGGAAAATGCAAGGAAAGAACAAAGGCTGCAAAAGGTTGTAACGTGTCTGTGTTGTGCACAACTCCTGAAAACTGTGGGAAGGACATGGAATTAAACACATGCACATGGGTTTAATTCCTTTCATAATGCTAAATGTTGGAACACAGTTACCTTGTTTTTTTTTCAATAATGCTCTGTTGTAATTTGGGTTATGGGTGCTGAATAGGGGACTTGCTGTAGTTTCAGTTGTATGTCTTAGATCAGCTGGCAGCTGTAAATTGGTTTTCTTTGCTAGGCCAAGGAATTTTCCTTTTTCCAAGCTTACTAGAAATCTGCATTTGATGAGTAAATTTAAATGCAATGAGAAGGCCAGCAGCTGTATCTTTGTCATGCTTGCTCACATTATATTAATATCAAACCAAGGTAATTTAAAAAGCTCTGCCTTATTGTTCCAAGGTTAATATATTTTTTATGTATTTCCAATCAAAGAAATGTATTAAAAATAAGTGTTTTGAGCTCACCTTCCCTGAGGATGGATTTTTAAATAATTAAGTGGGAAGACTGAGGTACTAATGAGACAGCTACTTTTGAAAAGAGGCTCAGAGATGATTTGAGGTTGTACAGATGCAAGAGCAGCCTAAAGCTAAAGTTCAAAGTGCACATTTCAAGGGCAAATAGTAATTTAAAAAAAGAGTAGCGTGAAAGTTGTTACACTTGAAACAAGTAGGGACTGAAGTAAAATGTGTTTATGTTCATGTAAGATGAAATGATGTCTTTGCTTTGTTTAATGCAGTTCCCATAGCCAAGGTAAAAGCAGGAGGGGGTTGTGTGCTGTCATCACTAAGGGATGCTCTGGCAGCCTGAGTGGTGATTACTCTCCCTGCACTCACCTCTGATTCGTGTATTTTCCTCCTTTTAATAAATTCCCTACAGGGAGAGATTGAACTAATTTGATCCAGAGCTGTCTTCCTTTGCATTCCTTTCAGGAATAAAACTGAAACCGTTGTAAAAAAATCCAGACTTTTATTACCTGCTTTCAGGAGGTGGATTTTACTTCAAATGTGCGATTCAGATGTAGCACAGACACTTTGGAGCAGCCCTGTCATTCCTCACTTGTGGAGGGTCTTGGATTGTCCCAATAGTCCTGTTAACTTCCCAGTAGTCCTGGTACCTTCACTAAGTGTCTCCTGGGTGCAGAGGAATGGCCTGGCTGCTCCTTCAGTGGTACAAAATCACAGCACTGGATGCTAAAAGGTCTGTTCCTCAGGTCAGAGGCTTCTCCCTCTGTTCTTCCCCTCAAGCCACAACCCAATGTCCTTCACTACCGGGAGAAACGGATTTTTATTTTTTTGACCTTCATCCATGTCTGTTTAATTAGAGAAGAGATTAATCTAAAGTTTGTTGAACTACAATTTGTCCATCAATTTTTTCTGTCAGAATTTTGAAACCACTGAAAAAAACCGTGGGTTTCGATACAAATTTTTTTGCCCAGGATTGTCCTCCGAAATCTTTGCTGCCCTTACAGCTCTCCCTTTCCAGCACCAGCTGTAGCTGTGTGTGAGTGTTTCAGGTCATCTGATGCACAGAAAACTATTGTTTGACCTAATATCAGTGTGCTTGTTACTTCTCTGTCTTTAATGTACCTTAACAGATTGCATCTGTCTCCTTTTTTATCTTTTTTTAATTTTTTTACTGTGTAGGTACCATGGACGGGGTATCAGGGTAGGTTTGCAGTCGACCCTCGACTCATTACTCATCAAGCAGCTATGGCATATAATATGAACCTGTTACAGGCACATGGGCGTGGGTCTCCTATCCCTTATGGCCTGGGGCATCACTCTCCAGTTAACATGGGACAGCAGCAGCTCCAGCATCAGGAAAAGGAGCAGCACGAACAAAATCGAAATGGTCAGTGGTTGAAATGGCAGTGAAAATTGGTCTGGTTTTGAGAGTTTTGTGCTTTAAATTACTTTATGATTGTACTTTACAATATCCTTTAAATAGGGTATTTTTATTTCCTTCCTTCGCCCTTTCCTCCCTGATCGAGGGATCTACAGAGCTGGGGAAAGAATGTGAGATTTGCCATTACAAATAGAATAACTCAGATACTGTGGCATTCAGAGGAGGAAGTAATGGAAGCTGGGGAGGGATGTTGAGGGTATAATTGTTCCATCTCTGTTCTGCAGTACAACTGCTGATGTTATTTGCAATTAAGTTGGAAGAACTACTTAGTGATGATTAATGAACAAAGTGCAGAGATTAAAGGAAAAGTGTTATTTAGGTAAATGATATTAAGTGTCTGTGATGCTGTAAATGCTATACTAATAAGTCTAAATTTTCCTGTCTGGCAAAAAAAAAAAAAATCCCAAAATAATAATTTTTCTATCGAAACTAAATGCTTTTGTAAATGTTTTTAGGTAAAAGTGAAAATGCTGCTGGACCTGAAATCAGTAAAATTCGAACACCTGAGAAGAAACCTCTGGAATCCAAGCAGGTGGGTTTCTCTTGTCTGGGTTTGTGGTTTGGTTTTGTGTTTGTTTGTTTATTTGTTCATTTGGTTTTGCATGTTCATTTTTTAATATTCCCTCTTTTAATGAGCTTTTAATGAGTCATTACTGAAATGGTTTTGTTTGGTTGGTTGTTTGTTTTAATGTGGATTTCCAGAAGTTTTCCTTCTCTTTTCTCCAGGTTGATTTAGAAGCCAGTTCTCAGCAGAGGAGCCCCGAGTCCCGTTCCGGTGTTGGTTTTCCCAACGCTAAATTCCATCGCAAAGAGAATCCCAACCCCAGGCAGCTGAACCTCCACCTCACCCCGCCCCACTCCCAGTTTGCAGTTCCCAACCGCCACTTCCAGCACCTCTCCCAGCTCCCAAGGCAGCCGTATCCTCTGCAGCAGCAGCAGCAAAACCTTTTAAGTCAGCAGCAAAATCACTTGCCTGACCAAGCAAACCAAATGCCACCCCAGCAGAGCCAGGTAGTTCAGCAGCATAACCATTTGAATCAGCAGCCTCCACAACCTTCACAGCTTTCCCCTGCTTACCAGGCAGGCCCCAGCCAGTCTTTTTTTAATAATCCAATTCCCCACCGACCACATTCTCCTGCTGTAGATGCTGTGATTTCAGAACAACACCCCCCACCTCTGTTACAAGAAGTCAATAATCCTTTGAGGCCTCTTGCACAGCACAACCCTGTTCTGCCAACCCACTTGAACAACTTCATTGAAGAGAATCCGTCAGGAATGCCCTTAGGGGACACTTTAGGTAGGTGACTTTTCTTTATTTAAATTCAGAGTGTGCAATTATAACTACATTGAAGTGAAAATGAAGGAGGTATTTACCTTTTTCAGGCATATTGCTCTGAATTGGGTCATTGTTGGGTTAGTTTCCATAAGTAATGTCATTGAGCATAATTTGCTGCTTCAGGCATGTTTGAATATTCAGCACTTTATTAGAAGATTCATGTTTATATGATTTTCCATATGATTTAAATAACCAGGTTATACACTGCAATGCAGTTAGTATATAATAGGCCCTGGAATATACTGTTTAAAAAGTATTCTTTTTTTTTTTTTTTTCTTTTTCTGACATAAAGATCTTTAAAAAAGGGCATTAGATAAAATTTTTTTTTAAAACTATTTTTGTAGATCGTATGCATGGAAATGTAGCTTTGGAAACAATAAGGCAGCAACAACAAGCCAGGTTACAACAATGGAATGAACATAATGCCTATCTCAGTCAAGGCACTATTCCATATCAACACCATCACCATCCTCATCTACCACATCTTCCTCAGCAACCAATTGGATTGCATCAACAGCAGCAAGTTAGGGCAAACTGGAAACTTGCCAGTAATACAGAAGATGAAACAGAGGCAACATATTCAAGGTATTTGTTTACTGAGTCATCAGAGCTTGTGTAAAATTGAGCAGTGGGCACCTATCTGTAACACTGTGATCAAGTGCAAGGCACGTAAAGGTTATTGCTTTTTGCTGCTGTTATTATGAAGGTTAAAATAGTTGGCAGGCTGACTTACAACTGTGCTTTTATTATGTGTTATGCTTTGTTCTGTTAGTATATTGGGTAGTAAAGCTGTAGTGGAAAAATATTTTCATGGAGCTTTTCGGTGTTGTGTTTATGGAGTAAGGAATGGGTAGAGAGCAACAACCTTGTGTTTTTATAAAAGAGGTGTCTGAGTGTAGTTAAGGCCTATTTAAGTTGTAAATTCGAAAACAAACAAACCAGCCCTTCCCCAAACATTGCTCCCCGGTGAAACCTAAATTTTTCTTTTCAAAAACCCTTTGCTTTTAAAAGCAAAAAAATGCTTGTATTTGAGATGGAGCATTAGGGGGCAAGAAAGGAAGCGGTTGAATGTCAACAGAAAAATGGTTCCAGTGGTCATCAACTTTGATCATGTGTATTGTAAAGGCTGGATTTTTAAATTGCCTCTGTTTACTGTCATCTCCCACTATGCTTTCTTTTCCATCTGGGTGGTTAGAGCCATGGTAAAGCATCTAAATGCCCTCTTATATTTTTGAAGTGCTGAATTGAGTATTCTTGACCTTTTGAAGAAGTTTGAAAGTCTGTTGTGCAAGTGAGGGGAATCCGTGATTGTTCTGGCTTTTGGCTTGTACGGGGTTAAAATTTTCCTTAACTATGTGAACTTTTTACCCTGTGTAGTAAAGCAGGAAATCCTTCCCTTAGTTGTCTCTTAAGAGATAACAAAAAATTGATTCTTCTGGCCAAAAACGAAATCTCAAGAGTTATTAAAACTTTGAGATGATTCAGGTGGGTATTTCATCCAATTAATCCTCTCGTGCCTGATTTCTGATTGCTCAGTCCCATCCTTTGAAGTTAGGGGTCAGTAAGCCCAAAGACGAGAATATTTAAGTTCAGTAGTTTGTGCTCTTGAGTTTTTTCTGCCTCAGAAAAGAGTGGGATTTCAGCAAAACTTTTTTCTTTTCTTTTTTTTTTTCTTGATGCATTTATTCTGTCAATGCAGATTCCAGGATTTGCTCCGAGAACTGTCCCACCGTGATCCAGGTGAAAGTCGGGACTTGGCCGAAATGCCCCCCCCTCAGTCGAGACTGTTGCAATACAGACAAGTGCAGCCCCGGAGCCCACCAGCACTCCCTTCTCCTTCCTGCAACTCCAACCACAGTGCTCACTTCCCCACCTTCACTGAAAACAACAGAGACATTGAACTGCCCAGTAACCCAGCATTTCAGCAGCATTTACCCCAAATATACAACCCCCCTTTCTCAATGCCATCCGAACATATAACCCCATCTCCCTTGAAATACCTGCAACCTGATGGATCCTGGACTTATGCTAACCTACAGCAGAACCACCTTATGGGGCAGGGCTTTCACTATGGGATACCTCCACTGCCCCACAGGTCGCAGCAAAACCCTTTTATACAAATCCAGAACCATCAGCACGCGGTCGGTCAGGAGCCATTTCACCCCCTCGCGTCTCGAGCAGTATCTGCCTCTTCGCTCCACAGCTTAGAAGAGGTAGGTGGAGGTGTT